TCTACGAGCACATTCTACATACATGGAATAAAACTACTAAAACTTTACAGCTTTGAAATAGTCTCTATGCACTATTTGCGTGTCTTTTATTTACAAGGACAAATAATGTTGATTTCAATATCTAAAAAAGCGTTTACAAAAGAACGAAGTAATATTGGAACCCCGCTATAACCGAACACCATAAGAACGAAAGCCTCAGGCTACAGTTAGTTTGGAACATAAGCTCCAAAGCTTCCAACGATTCTATTTGTCGACGAAAATATTACTTTGCACAAATCAATAACGGTGTGGGAGACAAGACCCCAAGAGAACCCATAACGGCCCTTTGAACCGCTATAATCCCTCCGTGATGCGATTCATTTATCAAAGTGCAGTTTTCTCCAAAAACGTTTTTTCAGTCTACTGGGCTAGCTTTTAAATAAATAAAGCACATTCAACCTTCGACCTTCTCGGTGAACAAACTTTTCACTCTTGAAAACTTATTTTTTTAAATTTTCTCAAAAGAAAAAGACAGCATGCATTTTTTACAAAATAATTGGAAAAAGGCAGTGACACCTAATCTTGATTAGCTCAGGGATCTGTGAAAATACTTTGATCTTTTAAGTCTTGGGTCAACAAACTACGCAAGTTTTTAAAAAAATAATGTCCTTGGCTCTTTATTTTGTACGTCTATAAATCAGGTGCAGGGCACGGTGTTTAATGAGAGACACTTTCAACGAATAGGCCAAAAACTAAGAAGCAACAAAATTGTATTCGAGCTTATAGTTGCTTAAATGTGAAGATGAAACAATCCACTTATTCGTTTCATCATATTACTCCAGTAAAATATACATACTGAAGCCCGACAAAATGAATAAACGAACTCTAGCAAAGCTACAGATCCAATTCAAGAACGAATGAAAAATCTTGGAATGTTTGTAATTCAAGATAAATTCTGCGTCAGACGCAGCCACATCTCGAATGCTGCTAAAAATTCGAGGATAAGAGTCGTCAAACTCGGTGAGTGGAGGAATAACGATCGAATGGCGGGAGCCAAAGTTGGAGTGGCCTACACTAGATAATTGAAAAATGGCATCGAGCCGCGTCCAAGTCGATTGTTTCTGAACAGATTCATGTGAATAGTTCGACTGATGAAGTGCACTGTTTTATTATTTGTGTGCATTGTTGCTTGATTGATTTACTTTAATCGTTACAATACAAAAAAGTCCGGCGTTGTTGTCAGTTTTAGGAATAAATTGCTAAGGTGATGATAATTCACGTGAGATATGTATAGGTTCAAAGGTCGTCTAATTTAACGAATATAATGTCTGGTCAAAATCTGTAGATTTCCTGAGAATCGCACTCTAAAATTCCAACTTACAGGACTAAGACCACTTGTCCAGGGGTACTCATACTCATTAATTTAAAATGATTACTCCAATATTTAAATCTGAACCAATGTTTCGTGAACGGATAAATTCATTCAATATGGATGGAAAGCTATATTAATTAATCCAAAGATTAAATTCAGCGTTGCTCATATACGTTGAATAAACTATGTTGGTATATGTATTGATTTTTCTAATTTGTACGTGTCTATAATATTATTGTCCAATGGCTATGAACAAAGCATCATTAGAATTATTATGGTGTAGCCGTAACTAATCGTGTGATGCATTATGATTATAATAATATACAACCAGACAAGAAATACTTCCTCGTCTATTATTCTATATCTGCATAGTATGTCGCATGTATTCGTTTTGACAGTTAGTGCAATTACAAGGTGACACTACGTGTATCTAGTTTCCAAGCTCAACCATAACTTCTGATTAGCGAGAGGTCGGAATTCGGGATCCATTCGACCGAACTATCCACAAATCGTAGACACAGGGTATTAGGCATGCTCTCACTAAATACCATTCCGAACTATACGTAATCCCAGCTTTCTAACTAGAGACCCATTCCTCAAATCGTCGGGGACATTTGAGGTAGCCGGAGAAATGGGGACGTAGAGGCCCATCCGATAAAAATTGCTGCATCAGTTGGGCAATACTGCAAAATCGAGATCTTTATTGACAATACTCAGTCAACCGTATGAATCGATGACCGAAACATTTTAATAATGGCGATAAATAAGCATTTGTTCCGAAATACGTTGCCAAAACAAAGAAACTTTAGCCATCAGTTATCTTTCACGCTATCTATTGAAACAAGCGCTTACTTCACACAGTACAAAATTATGTTTAGACTAAGTAAATAAATCAACCTCATCGCTTCTCATGGGTGTCGTAATTGGCAATTAAGAGATAATATCAGAGATAGGCGTCGTAATAGACGACGAACGGATTAATTAAATCACGTGGATAGGCAGCTAGACCGTAATTGATGCTCCAGATATTACAGAAAAACAGTGACATTATACAGGGCTTCGGAGTTGCAAAAATAATGGAAACAGAGACGTATGTTATAAATCAACTGGCACAAAATGTGTGAACAATACTCGTTTTCATTGCGGTACAATTACTAGTAGCATTCGTTATATCTGTCTGCGGGGAGACCAATACTCATGATGAATAGTTGTTTCATAGCAAATTACTCATGACAATATGTCGGCCACGCACTGATTGCCGGTAATAAACGTCATTAGCGGTTGTCGCACACCGGAAAATTCGAGTTATTTTGTTACAAACACGTCCAAATGTCAACTGCATTCTAATGGATTGATTTATTCAGTTATAAGTACGAATACAATAAGTGCTTAGATGACAATGACGTCATTTTGTCTAATGCAATTTTGCTATTACAAAAGTGCAAAGTTTTAGGAAGTAAATAAACATAATTTTAAAAGAAACAATGAAAATATAATATGATAATTAAAGCGAGTTCTACTTGGAAACTACAACAATATATTCCACCAAAACATGAACTATCCTTTGAAACAGAATGGCACAAACAGTTAACTATAAATTCTACGTAGCATGTCCTTTGGGAGATAACGGAAAGGCAAGTTTGCGGGCTGTGGTCACATTATGCACGGAGGCTTGACAGAGGCCACGCCGTACAAGGAAAGCTCATTTCAAATTCAAAATAGTTGCCAACAAAAATTAGCAGGATAACATACAAAGTCACACCTTTATTATGCAACAGCACATCACTTCGCGAGACCGAATAATCACCAAACCAACAGGGATATGAACACTTCGCACCGCTCATTAACCAAATTCGGTTTATTGGCCGAATTTGCAGAACGCTCAGTCATACGAAAATATTCTCAATACGTTAATGGTTTGCCTAATGGCTTTCCCGAACGTTATTTAATGGGTTGACATCGTTTATAGAGTAATATTGAATTGTTAGTACACTAATGAGTTGGTAATAGAGGTCGCAGGACTTACGTAATTAGTTTTTCTTTCACATTTTCGTTTTTATGCCCTGAGTGCGCCGTTAGGTCTTCACTTTACGTTATTGAATTTATCGATATTGAGTTCCATTAATGTTTCCAATTTTCTTCCGACCTTTTTTCTTATATTAGTATAGTAGTTATAGTTTTGTACAATAGTTCATGTTCCCGATCGACTACGCGTAATTTGTCGGATTCCTGTTTCTATTGTGTATTGTTTCTGTTATTGTTACCTGAATTGCTAGCCGATATCTGGAGGTCCGCACTCCATATTCTATTCTATATTAGTGTAACATAGGACTATTATAGCTAATTTCTGTTCCCAAATGCTGCCTAAACTAAACCACTACACGTTACAAGGTTGCAAGGTTGTGATGGCATCAAATATTCATGTGACATGTCGTCTCATTACGCAGAGTATTAATAACTCATCGCCGGAGCAAGTAATCAAGAGGAAGTTGCGCTTAATCACCTACAGGCCGGCTGATAAAAATTTCATTACCAACGGGTCTCCTCAACAAGGAATCTCATCATCTAAAAATAAAATTGCGAATAAAAGGGTCTAATTTTTGCCCTTATTTTTGGGGCGTAAGGGTATTCAATAAAATCTGTTTCGGGGTTATTGTGTAGCTGTGGAAGCAGCTTTATCATGCAATGGCTGCTACTTGTGTTTTGTTTTAAGGACTATTCATTTTTAATTGGGGTACCCGCTCTGATTGACGGGTGTTCCGGATTTTTCGTCTCTACAATCTTATTAAAAAATGCTGACTTTCACCTTAATCTCATTTTAATGAGTTTGAAGGTTTTTGTAATTTTATTCTTTCTTCCTTGTTTATAACTGTTATTATTGCACTTCATTTCTCTGCACTTCCCTATGGTTGACTGTAAGAGAATGCCTTAAGGCATTAAGTCCGCCATTCACCTTATTTTGTGAAGAAGAATATAAATAAAATAAAAATAAAATAAAATATTGTTACGGTCACTGTTACACTCACTCTGAAGTTCTACAATAGCAAGTTACCGTGTCAGAAAGTATGATAGTTTTATTATTTACATATTTTTTCGGCCAAAATATTCCTGCCACGGCGTGTCAGGTTAAGCCCCTCCTCTGTGGTTTGCAGCCAGGCTTTTACTAAAAGCGAGAAAGGGCTTTGTACATTAATCTAGGCGTTCAAAAGCGCCGGGCATGCCGCGAGTATCAAATACCGCTATGACCAATAACGTGGAAGCTTTGCTTTAGAAGTTATTTTCCCGTTACGTAATATTACGAGATAAAATTACAGTAATAAAAATTAATTTTGCAGTCTACACTACATTTATTGGTATTGGTTCTATTAATATGGAACGAGTTTTAAATAAACATTTCATTTCGATGTAAACTTCGTATTCGATTCAATGATCTGATTTTAATATTCAATTTATTTTGAAATTTAAAATTCGCAACTAATCGCTCGGCTATATTAAAAATGTTTAGTCGGAGTACCTATAACATAACGGCAATGTGGCATAGTAAAATTAATAAATAAGCTTTCCCCAATGACTTCCAGGTAGGCAAATTAGAAGCCACATATTGCAGAAAAATATTCCATATTTAAAAGAGCTATTAGGTTGATCCTACCTGTATCTGGAACATGGATATGGAGTCGTCCAGCATCTGTACCCTGACGGCGAGCATCTTGCCGCCCTTCTTGGGAGTAGCGGGGGGCGTACGGGAGCCACCGCCGGCGCCGTCCACCCCCGCCGGTGTGCTGGCGGAATGGTGCATGCGTCCTGGACAAAATTATATGTTAAAATATAAACTAATGCTATTCTATGTTAAAAACGATGAAGAATAAAAACAAAGCTCTTTTTGACATGTTCAGTTCTACATTTTTATATGCTTCGCGCTCAATTAACTTAGGTAGTTATGAGCTTTTAATAATCCAATTATTTTTTATACATGCGAATATGAGGTAACAATCATTTAAGAGCCGAGTCTGAGACTCCATCTTGCCTCACCCGGGCGGGAGAAATCATTGGATGCTTTGCCCTCAAAAAAACGGGAAATAACAGAAAATACTTTAACGGTTAACCTGAAGATGGACAAATGAGAAACTTCATAATATTGTTATGCAGAATATCTTCGTTTTATTTTGTTTACAATATAGTTTAGATAGGACCTTTTCGTCCTCAGTTTATTTACGGTCAGTGCACCTTTTCCTATCACTCGTTATCTACACCCACATCTTCCAAACCCTTCCTTCAAGATCAATCTTTGCCGTCCGCCATCAAAAATATAATGTTTACACACGATGTATGGAAAACTATCGCAATATGAAATGGAATTAACTTTGAAGTAGGTACATAGTAACTAAATATAACAGTGTTGTAGGTAACAATACTAGCGATGTTTCATCTAACTATTTGACATTGAACGAGAGCGGCATTGTCTACAGAAATTGAATTAGACAAGCATTTAGCAACATTCATTGTATTAAATACTGACTGTTGTATCGCAAGTTCAATGTTCTCGACTGTGGAGATGGAGACATACAATACAATGTATAGTTAGTTCGTTTTAAAAACGTTGAAAGCATACGCGAGTACTAAACCACACACTCGTATCAAGTGTATCCTTTTTGTACGGCACAAAGAACGTTATAAAAGGCACTGGTCCACGCTCAAAACGACGGTCAAGATGATTTAACTTAGTTCACGGAATTTGAACTTTATCCAAGAAACGGGGGAGATCAGTTCGTTGACTCCCTTTAAAATGAGATCCGAGGTAGGAAGAACTTGGTAATAAAACGCGGATGTACATACAAAACTAGATCGGAGTTTTACTAACATAAATGATTGTGTACTTTAATAACGTTCTAGATGATAAGGCTGCGTTGTAAATCGTCAACTGTTACGCTAAAACACGAATCACGCCTTCGCCGGCCATGATACTATTTCATTTGTCGTAAATTCTTGTGTTTATGAATGTAATCTATGCCAGAGCAATAAGTTGGCAAATTGACGTTATTTATACATGCTTGTGGGGAATTTAATTAAATATTCAACTTTATTAAAAGTATTTATTCAATACGTTAGCTTAAAATTAGTTCTTAGGTCTTATGTTTATTAGAATGCTTTTGCTATGACAACAACACTTAATGCTATAGCGGAGCGATTTATTACACTGTTCTATGAGTGACTTCACAAGGGTAGCATATTCGGAGATATGTATTAATGTAGTTTCTTTTTTATTATATTTTATTAATCATTGCTTGTATGTATGTTTTGTTTAATGTAAGTAGCTTCTATCACATTAGGTTAAACTGTAATCCTAGATGTAACTGTGATGATAAATAATACCTAATTAAGTAAAGAGCATGCAGCAGTGAGATCATCCTAGCAGTCGGGTCAATACAAAATTACTTCGCTTAGGTAGGTAGCTTTTTGTTCTATTTAATAGGAAATCCACAGATGATTTTTAATGACCTACAATGCTTATTAGAATTACATTAGACAGTAAATTTTTATAAGGTACCTATTCGCCCAACAATGAAGTGTAAGGCCGTAAAATCATGTACCTACCTATTTGAAATCAAATACTTAGTAAGTATTACCTAATTATGTACAAATCTATTTAGTTGTCCCCCAGTTTACATAGGTGCGAGTATATTGCGGTAGAAACGCTCTCAAGAGTCTGCTATGCAAATTGCCACTCAATATTGAATAGTTTATATGATAAGCATGCATATCTATCAGCGCCAGTTATTACCTGGAGTGCCATTTAAGACAGAAAGGTAAACAAGAAATGCAAAACATTGTACACAATTTGTGTTAAATAATTATTTACCTACACATTAGCTGTCTCTTTTAACTTTATAGTTACCGCCTCAAACCTACGTAATGAACTTTAAATAAATAAACTATTGGGAAAACCATTTTTTTTATTGGATAAGTCAGTAAACGAGCAGACAGATTACCTGATGGTAAGCAATAGGAGTCGGCCATGGACACCTGGAACACCAGATTGTTGGGAATTCAGGGATTGGGAAAAGAGGGTAGAGGGGGCCTCCGGTAACATCACTCACACGATGAAACATAACGCAAGCGTTATTTCACGTCGCTTTTCTTGAGGCTGGTCGAGGCGGCTTATTCGCGACGAAGCATGGCTTTCTTACACTCAAATCTATTTATTACTTAGTTACTGTTTTGCGAATTTTTCAATCAGTTGTTCTAGTACGAGAGTTTTACCAATAATCTCGCCTCCTAATGGCTACGGGACGTACAACGACAAAACACTGAATAACTACTGCCATTTTTTGCGTGTTCACAACTTTACAAGTACGGTATTTTGTTTGTTGAGAATGATATCACTAAGCAATGATTACTAATGCCATAGGTAATCTTTTAATTCATAATTATTCATTATTTAGTATTAATTTTGTGGTTTATTGAGGAAATACCGAAATCAAAGACGCCAACTCAACAAATAAATTAGTTCATCATATGACTACTTCATTGCCAATGCGGAAAAAAAAAAAAAATTAATTTCAAAATGGAGTACAAAGGCAAATAATATTAAAGTAACAGGTATAGCCCATACATCATCAGGAGGACCGTAAGCTTGGTTTTCGGCAACGGTGATGAAACATGTCGAAGAATTGAACACCATAATTTATTGTACCTGTTATTCTATTCACCTCTCGGAAATGGGAGGTATGGTGTCACAGATTAATTAATAGTTGCTACGTAAGTGGAGTGGCGTAGATGTGCCAGTGTTACTGGTAACACTATCACCGAAATATTTATTTAGAGTACTTAAATAAAAAATTTCGGGTGCCGATCATTTCAATATTGCAAAACCATTTCCCAACAAACAGTTATTTCATGCACTAACTATGCCATTTGCTTGTCCAGAAAATTAAACTCTGTTCAAACTCTGCAATTGTGCTTACAAGCAATAGTACCTATTTATTATTTTATTATTCAACATGCAACATGTCAACTTATCTTTGTAATTGAAGTTATTATGTCAAGCTTATTGGCAGTATGTATATGTACCAAAGAAGAATATTTTCAATTATTATTACATATTGTGTTCTTCCTTCCTATACAATAAATGAGCAGTAATTAATTATAACTTAATTAATTAATAAACAGATTACACAATCATTATTATACAACTCATCAGTTATGTATATTGATGTGCTTAAATGTCATATTAAGATATCAAGATTAAACTCTTTTGCAATCAAAATTGGAATCTAATTAGACTCTTTCTAAAAGTTGTAGTATTAGTTTCGTGATAAATACCTATAATATTATTCTTGATATAACAAAGTCATTTATCTGCTATTACCCTACTTTTTACTGTAAAAAATGTGATTAACCACATTTTACATACACTCAGTTAATATGTTCATCAATTCTAATGCATATTTAAAATTAAACTGTAAGAATTAAAAAGTTATGACACAAGAGATAACAGAATGTCTTAAAGCTTTATCAGTATCTACATTATTTATGACCCATTATGGACAAAGTTTCAAAAGATTACAGCCGTGATAAGAGAACAAACAAATATTGTATAAAATTTTTGTTTATCATGTTAAATGAAGTTATGTAGTTATTAAAAACCTGATCTAAACTATATTAGAAGACAAAATATAAGACTAACTTAAGAAAAAAATTAAACCATCTGTTTTCTCCATTAACTTATTTTCACTAGTTTATTAAAAAAAATCCTATGTAGGTACCTAAACAAAATGAATTTATTCTGTTCTAGCAGACACAATGTACCTAATAAAAACTAATACAAATAATTTGAAGCCAAATAGTCATAAAAAATAATATTCTTACATACCCATAGCCATTAATTGCCACAGAGTAATAATCACAATATTTATAAACCTATCATAGATGTCAGAAAGTCACACAAAGTTAAGATCTGTTATCTTATCAGAGACTTATCAAGAGACAAACTGTTAATGTAAAATCTGTCTGTCTTGATGTTAACAGTGTGATTTCACACTCAGTTACAATACCTACCTTACTGGAAAAATTTAATATACAAATAAATTGTACTAATAGTGTGAATCATTATTTGAATGAATTGGTATGTTTATCAAGGAATATTCTAGCTATAGGTAATTATATTATTGTTGAATGGGAAATTTTATTTAGGAATAGGTAGCTTTATTCAATTAATGAATTATATAAAAAATTGGTTTTTAAAAATAAAATATTTTATCCCATAGATTAAAAAAATCAGGCTCTGAATAGTTACCAGGACTTTTTATACAAATTTTTGGCTTAGATAAAATTAGTTAAATAAAGTATACTTAAAAGGTTCTTTTTCACTCACCTGGCAGAGTATGATATCCGATTGTGGACAGATGTCCAGTAGAGTTGCAACTACCAGGTGGCAGGTCCGAGTCCATCATATTGTAGTGTTGTCCTCCTCTGTCAAACCCAAGCCCCTGGCCGGCACATACCATGCCATCTTAACTACACTACACACTTATCACTACACTGTCCTCTTGGTTCAAAATCTGTGACAATAAAACATCTCAATCAGGTCCCATACTCTTTGCATAACACTTATCTACTTATTTTAATGTCTCAACACTTTCTACACTTTAAACAATTTAATACATTATTTAAATGCAAATTAAATTGGATTTACATGCTGTACCAGTGGCTGACAAGGGCCGAAATGAATTATTGCATACGCGATGCAAAACCGGCGGCCCACTTTACACCCCAAGACATAAATAGTTAGATGAATGCAATAACCAGAAAATAGGTCAACGGAGGTGTGCCCGGCCGCCGCGACAGAGACAACAGACGCACTGCCTCCGACGGTCGCGGCGCATCACAATCCAATAAGAACCTGTGCAAACTTAATTACTATCAACTGGATATTACAAAACTTCGCACTAAACTAAAGAATCGTGGAATAATTAACGAGAGACCGCAATTTTACTAACTACGTACAAATAAACATTACTATAAACACATCTTGTCTTACTTTCTAACAAGCGCAGATGAAAGAGAGAACCGACCGCGACGCAGCGAAGCCCCGACTCCCCTACATGTCAACCACCGTACACCACCATCCAAGTCATTGATCTATTCGGTCATTACTTACACACACATAACTTCGCACTTTAAAACACTGATAGAACACTACAATAATCTTTTGATTAATAAATTTGTCTGTTTATAGTTTTTAGTGAATAAACAGAAGCCGAAAACTTTAAACACACCCCGACGGTCGACACTACTACGTCGCCATATTTATTTACCTATTCAGTGTTGTCATTCTAGCCTTGAGAACTACCATTTGGTAGTAAATAATACGTAATATTTTTGTGCCATCATAAAAGAGAAAGTGCCTTCAAACAATTCGTTATTTTGTAATGCAGTACTCATTTACATGTGAATGATATAAATATTTATGTTTATGTGTGTGTCAAACCAATAAAAATGTAGACATTATCGGTTATTTTTAATAATTAACCGTAAAGTAAATTACATCTCTAGTCTTGACAATGACATTGACATAACAAATGTCAGTTCATGCTTTGCTGTCATAGCGAAGGTTTGTGTTTGTATACTTGTCCGAGGCGATTATTTTTATTGTGCTTTATAAAAACAAGTTTAGTTAATTATTCATAATCTCATATTGTAAGAGTATAATGTGAAGAGACATAATTCAACTTATTTTATAATCTGTTGTGAAAATGGAGACCACACCATTGCTGACGAGACCTAAAAAGAAATCCTTATGGTCAAGGTAAATGTTTTTTCGTTAAATGCTCTTTGTTTGGATTAATTATTGGATGAGAATTACGTTAAAATTAATGATTTTAGGTTACAATTTTGGAGGTTCCGTAAGAAGAAGTTGAGTTCAAGAGCTATTTATTTGGGGCAGCTGCCTGATGAAGAATTTCCGCCGAACTATGTCTGTAATCAGGTCAGTGACGATATAAACTATTGAACACCATAGAGATACCATCAACGCATTTACAATATATACATCAACTACTAAATATTCTCATTACGAATGTTTAAAACCAATACAAGATACTGAAGGTTATTATAATAATGCAAACTAATTAACTATTTATGATAGCAGAGAATCCACGATGACGCATTTTTGTTCTAATCAATACACAGTTCTAATTAGTTTTCTGAAGTTTTAGGTATATTGTTGTGGTTTCTAGCTGAATATTTTAAGCTAATAAGGGAATTTGAGGAAGAGAATCTTAATGATTTATTTCAAAGGATACTAATTGATTCAAAATCAAAAGTCATTTTACTAGTTTACATACAATGAGTAGAGATTTAGGTCAGTAATATTAAATTGTTATAACATTCTGACATTATTATCAGCAATCTGTTGTATCCTTAAATACCTGGCTTGAAACACAGCCTGATAGATAAATTAATATAGAATTTTTATAGAAGAAAAACCCACAATATTATTTACTGTTATTCTTATTTTCTTTATATAGATAAATATTATTTACCTTAATAAAAATACTAGCTGTTACCAGAGCCTTTGCCTGGTAAAAGCCAAAGGTAAAATTTAGCCTATATCAATCAATACCTAGCATCTAACTAGGTATTTCTAGATGTAATAATTAAACCATAAAATCCTTCATTAAGATGTTAATAACTAAATAAATATTATATATATAAATATTATGTAAACATAACTTAAAAAGTAACAGCACATAATTTATCCCCGAATTGGTAGGCAGAGGTGCACATTACGGCACTTAATGCCACTGTACAATGTAACACCCACTTTTCACTGTTTATGCTAAGAGTCCTATGTAATAGTATGAATCCCCTGAATAAGTATTAGTTAGTAACTTTCAATCTTTATCATACAGTGAATGAATGATTCAACTGACATATTAAATAATCATTGATTGTAAATATTATATTTACAATGTATAAATATAATTTATAATCTGCATGCAGTATTTATCGACTACCGAACTGACTACAGCAAAGATCTTTCTATTAGAAAGTTACTCTGCAATGAACTGAGAGTGGACAAGGAGGTCACTTCACAAGTAAAAGTTTTGCACTATGTTTTAGTTTTATTATGCAACTGCAACTAGTTTTTATTTCAAGTATTGCACTTTTAATTTAACATAAAATACTTAGTATTGATTTTAAATTCAGAATGAGTCAGTTTACTAAAATAAATACGAAAAATAAGAATGTAAAAAAAGTCTAAAATTTAATTATTTCTTGATATGTACTGTACTGAATTTCTCAATACAGTTGTATTTTTTTGAAGTCAGTTAATAAAATCACTATATATTACGATTTTTTGTCTCAAACAAACGCACTTTAGCTTTAATCATATTAGCAGAAATGAAAGGATATAAAACGCAATATCTATAAAATTGAGGTAATTATATTTTTATCATAAATAATGAGTCAACTAACAGTCTAACAGAGATATCATTCTCAGCAATTCACAATGCGCAATTTTATATGTAAATAAATAGCTATAACAATGAATATATTGCATAAACATGGTTATCATAATAGTAAATACAGTCATATCAATTTACTATGTTCCTGTATAGTAGGTACATAATATAATATAGTATAATTCTACTAGAAAGAATTATCTGCAATTTTACCATCACAACAATTTTTTATTCCTAATTCTGATATGTGGTCAATTATTTTGACCTGCCTCGTTGACTCATTAGTAGAGCTCCTAATGATTCAGATTCGATTCCTAGGTCGGGTAAACTATTTATTATATAAAACAGGTTATACCTTTAACAGACACCAGTCTCTTAATTGTAACATATTAAATAATTTGTATCCGTAGAGTATTTTTGAGAAAATATATTTTTTTTTATTGTTATTAGAACATACCTAAGACGAGTTACTACAAAGACATGAGACGAAAATGTATTTTTTCTGAAAACATAAGTTTCATAAAACAGAATCCTTTGTTACATCTTTAGACAACACATCTTTCATCGTTCTACAATCAGTAACTCCCGGCATTGCGTCATTAGAAATAATTCGCCAACGTTTGCCCGACGCGCCCTTGTCACAATGACCGACCATTGTATTCGCGCGGCGATATTATCCAATCAGAATAGCACAGCTTGTCACTGATCTCCCACTATTATTGTATTGTATTTGTAATTCTTTGACTGGTGAATAAAGTAGATAATTTTAGACATCAGATGCCTAGCAGTGACGTCAGAATGGAGTCCGTTTCTCAGATTTCTCTACCCCCCGAATATTCCTGCGGGCGACGCAAAATCTCTAGTAAAACTTGAACGTTTTAAACGGCGATCTCCTCACAAAACATCACGCCTTTGGGCTGCCGTCGGGCGCAGAGGGAGAACCCACCCACTTCTTTTCCCGACGTGAAACATCTTCTCCCTCGCCCAACATCTTACCGGCGCAATGCTTCGAGACAGGTGGTAGTTTGGGGATCAGTGGGGTCCTACCACAACAATCCATGATGATTACGATTTCATCACTGGACGCAGGCATCTCCAAGTGCAAAATGTCACAATAGTAATGAGTCCCATGTAATAAGGAGTAAACTCCAACTCACCTGCCTGAGTAATGGCTCAGATACAGTTCAACAGTGTATAGATCATAGGCTGTTGATGGCGAACAATTGTCTTATATATTTTAAACAGATAACCGCTGATATACACATAGTTAGAGCTAAATCCGTATCTAACAACTACATTCTCTTCCAGAAATACAACATCCTCACATTCCTACCTCTGGTGCTGTTCGAGCAGTTCCGTTTCTTCCTCAACCTCTACTTCTTGGTGATGGCCCTCAGTCAGTTCATACCCAGCATCCGTATTGGGTACCTCTACACGTACTGGGGGCCTTTATGCTTTGTACTCGCCGTCACGCTGTTCAGGGAGGCCGTTGATGATTTCCGAAGATATCGGTAAGTTAAATTAAAACAAATTCTAAGTTATCTACTATAAAGTTCATTCTTTTCTGTCCCATAAGTCGAATTCGCAATGTAATTTCTAATACCCGTAATGACTAAGCACATGTTCGGTAACACTTAGCTAATAGCCCCTAATCAGCCTAACTAAATCTAATTAGTATTTAATAGATACTTCACCTGAGCTGTTTCATGAAACACGATAGGATAGATTGACGCGGATTGGATCACAATCAGAAATCAGTATCCTTACTTCCTTACTAATATTATAAATCTGAAAGTGAGTATGTTTGTTTGTTCCACCTTCACGCCGTAACTACTCAACCGATTGCTTTGAATTTTTGCAGACGTAAAGTTAGAAGTCCGGATTAAATAATAGGGTACTTTTTATCCCGGAAAAATTTTATATTCCCAAGGGGAAAACAAAAGTATTGGTATAGATGGCGCTGTGTGAATTGGTAAATGTCACATAGGCTACTTTTTATCCTTTTGTGACGCGAGCGAAGCCGTGTGTAAATGCTAGTT